TGACGGTAATGAGCGGCACAGCCGGCACCTAGGAGGGCCTAGGAGACCGGCTGGGCCGTGTAAGCTCCTGCCGCCGTCCCCGCGCCCGTGCTAACCCTAGATTTTTCTGACGCCCCTCAGCTTCCAGAGCCTGTGACAGAAATCACTGCGCGGCAGTTAGAAACTGCTGCACGGTGTTTTCTTGCCATGTGCGCGGCCACGTAGCCACGCACCTTAGAGGGAACAGTGATTGTTACCTGCTTCTGCTACTGACCTCAAGTTCCTTAGCATAATCATCGTGTTTAGCTACTTTAGTGTTGTCTAACAAATATAATGTTACAAGAGTGGTTTCTGATAATGACAGCACTGAAATCCTTTGAAGCATAATATACTTTGCTAAATGTTGTTAAGGTATTATGCAAGGGAAGAAAAATAATATGTGACAGAAAAGTCCATTTTATTAATCTCACTCATTTCTTTATAAAACATTCATCAAATTAGTTAAAAAAAATAGTCCAAAGCAGATAGATAGCCACAATTTTCTTAAATTGTTGAGAAAGGCTGGATTTTATTTTGAAAAATGGAGCTATTTCTTCAGGCAACTAGAATAACTGCATAAACTTAGGGATGTTTTCCAAAACCAGCAAACTTATATTAAGGATGACTTTTTAACATAATTTAATCAAAACTAGGTAGAACAATAGATAACATCTTGGGAAGCTGTATACTGTGATGAACAGCACTGCTGACAAATGACAGTAAATGGGTGGTTAGTGACTAGTTATGTCTGTCAGGGTAGCCATTTTATGTAACTGCTTATAGCATCACACAAACTTTCCAACATTTCCAGTGAATCACAAAGTAGGACATAGATACAAAACATATTCTGGAAAGCATGGCAACAGTATGACTGCATCTATTCTGGAGCATATATTAAAACCTCATAGACAAACATTATGATTATTATACCTGACTACCCAAAGAACAAAATGGTACCTTCATAATGATCTAGTCTAACTAATTGGTTTCTGTACCTTCAGATAAGTAGGATGAGATTGGAATATATACAGAAACAAGGCAAATATTGAGATACTTAACTAAATTTAAAAAGCATACAATACACAATCCAAAACATTTTCTATGTCTAATTCATATATTATTAATAAAATATGATCCAGTATGCATTTTTAGAAAAAAATAGTACAAGTTGTTTATTCCAGCTTTAAATTTGACAATTAAATAAATATCTAATTGATTCTCTAAAAAGTGTTGAAAATGTAATGAGCATATTGGATATACCATATCATATATCATATTTCATATTTGGTGGTGTTGGTTTAGTTCCAAGCTGGGATATAGACCCTGGAAACATGGAGTCTGATTAGAAAGATGGTTTAATGCTGAAGCAGAACCACCTGGAGATGAGAGTGAGGGGCTTCAAAAATTTTTAGAACCTCTTCTGTAGGTGTGGCCTGCTTTGTGGGAGTGGCTTGCCAGTCATGTGACCAGGTGGGAGTGGCCAACTTATAAAATGTGGTGAAACTCACTTAACAACGCTCTTGCTTAGCAGCCAAAATGTTGGCTCAGAAACTCTGGCATTTNCCAATCTGCAATTCCCTTAGGTGTCATGTGGGTTGCATCTCCAAGAAGCATGATCAGGTTGGTATGCAGGATGGTTGGCCTTGACGAGGTCCAAACGTAGGCCATCAGCATGCGCAGGAAATGGTGAAGACAAAACTCCCTTTTTTACTAAACCTCCTGTAGCAATTATTCCCATCCCAAATACCATGCCCTCCCCCCGTTTCCATGGCAGCCAAAAGCAAGCAAGCAAAACTGAGGCTGACACCTGGAGGGAGAGCCAAGGGGTGATGTGTCCCAGGATGGAACCATAAATTAGTTTCAGCGCAGTATCTCGATGATGTTACAGTCAGTCAAACTTGTGAGACAAGGGCAGAATGTTTCGTTCAGGAAGCAAGCATAAAATGCCTAGAAGAGCATGGAGATCATTAATGAAATAATTCATTCACAGTCCACTGAGTATGTGGACTATTCAGGTGACTGTGAGGGCACAAATGAGCCTCCAGATGGGCTCAGCAACTCTGAGAGAGCGCTAACGACCAGATATAAATCTGAAAGAATATAAATCCTTTCATCCTCCACCATTTGGTGGAGTAACTGAGGAAGCTTCTTGGATGAGAAGTGAAATGTCTTCCAAGGAAAAACAAAAGTCCAATTGCCTTTTGAAAGAACACCTTTGGGTCACCAAACCCGTTCAATGGGCCTGGTTTGGTCCGAGGAAAGAGAAATATGGCAGACAACCAGGCACATCGAACGGGTCTGGTGACCCACAGCCTTGCCTTGAAAGGAGGGATAAGTAAGAGGCAAAGACCCTTCCCTGCACTCCCAAGGTGGGCAGACAATCAGGCACGAGGACACCTGTTGGGCTGGATTTCTTTCCCGTGTGGCTTTGGGCGTCTCCTTTTCCCAGCTCCAGTTTGTCACCCTTGAGCACTCCCTGCCCATGAGGACTCCCACTGCAGGAGATGCTGGTGGGGGAGGGGGGCTGTTTGTGCTCCATCATCCCCTAGGAGCTCCCAAAGCCACTTTCTATACAAGGAGGGAGCAGCCCTGCGGGAGGGCCGAGCACTCAGTGGCAGCCACTTTGCAGCAGCCAGCCCTTTCTACTATTTTGGGGAATGAAACTGTCTCTCCTGGTTTTACCTAAAGAATCAAACTGCATCCCTTGAAAGATGGATTTTCCTTCCATGCTTCGGGAAGCACCAAAATATTAGCCTAGAAAGAGCAGCTCAAAGACCTGGAAAAAATCAGTGAATGTTTCCTTATTTAGTCCCTTTGCCCATTCCATCTTTTTTTTAAAAAAAGGTCTAAGCATGCTCAAGAAAGCAGGGTTTATTGAATGATTTACAAACATATTTTTGTATATAAAACTTAGTTTGCAGATTTTCTTCCCTTTTACTGTCATGTGATCATGAAGTTTGCATAAACATTGAATTGTTCAGAGCACCCAAATGAAGAGGAAGCGTGCAGGGCCGAGGCAGGCCTTGTTCTGACTTCCCCAATGCCCCTGCCCACCCCCCAAGGCAGCCTCCTGCCCCTTCTCTTGCGCCAGCAGCTCAGCCGGGAGCAGCTTTGCCCTCTCGGCGGGGAAGGCAGAACTTTCCCCTCTGCAGGTTTTGCACCAAGATTGGGGAGCCTCCCCCACTGGCCTCCAAGGCCAGCCACACATCATCCCGTAACTGGAGGATACCAGGACAGATGGCCAACTTCAGCCGTGTGAATGTTTCCTTTGTGAAGGTGGCATCTTGTAACCAAGCAATCCTTCCGGCCGGTGGAGCTGCCTCCTCACCCTTGTTAAGGAGTTTGCTTAGGAAAGCAGCTGCTGTGCTTCAGCTCGGCTTGGTTCAGAGGGAGCCCCTGAGAAGCAGCACCCTGAAACTGGAGACTAGGAGATTAAGCAGCACGTTAAGCCTTTACTGTTTATGAACAAAACCAATACTACGAGCAGGCAAGACGGAAATAACACTGAAGCCTCAACAATACTAAAGGTTTTGAAAGCTGGACTCCTTCCTGTGCAAGAACTTCATTGGATGGGAGCAACAGAGGCCCCAAACATGTCACTTGTCCTGCCCACTTCCATTGGCTCCTCACCCGGCTTCCTTCGCTTGGATAACTTCAAAGATGCTCCCCAGAATTCTCTGCCATTAATAGGCACTTACAAGAATTTGACCACAGAGCAGACATACAGCATAGTTATTTGAAGCCTTCAGGGAAGCAACCCCCGTCCCCCTCAGCCGAGAGCAAATACGGTGTGTTGAGGTAGAAACCTGGGCCTCCCAGACAGGCGTAGCTCTCCCCCGCCCAGCAGGCAATGCCAAGGAGTTGGGAGTCCCTGGCAGATTTCCAGCCCAAGGCAAGTTCCCTGCCCAACAGGAGGAGGCTCCTGCCCTTCTCCTGAATGCTTACAGCCCTTCTTGGGGCCAAAACAGATCACATTTGGACTTGCTGTAGCCACTTTAAACTGGCAGAGCAAGCTTGAGGTCCAGAGTGGCCATTACCTGGCCAGCTAACTTGGGGCAAAGGGTGGGAAGCAGGCACACAGCTTCGCTCAGATGGTAGGAGCTAAGGACAGCTCAAAGTGCAGCATCCTTAGGACTGATGGTGCTCGGATGTCCGTCCTGGCTGAGTTGGGAGGAAGAGCTGACTGCATCTAGCAAGGTTGGCTTCTGAGTGAACTTGAGCCTGTGATGAGCTCGAGGAGGAAAATGCTGATGAACTGGGACTGCTGAACTAGAACAAGCACGCAGCTGCGTCTCTATTGTCTTTTAAAAGACCTTTCACAGGTAATCTAATCACTGAATATCAATTAAATGGACATTATTCAATATGATTGATTGACAAAAGTGCTGATTCACACAGTCCAAAACCTGTAGTCCTAAAGAAACTATTTAAGTCCTCTGAGAAAACCTTTTCCAAAAAGGAATTCCATCTTCTGCCAACATTGCCAAACTTGTGTCTCACCTGAAAAGTCCCTGTAAGGGGGGGAGGAGGCTTCAGAAGGAGCCAGTGACTGCAGTTTCGGGCCTGTGTGTATGCTTCTGGGAATCATCCCCTTTGAACTCTGCTTTATAAGACACGGATTCCTTCCTTTCCTTTCGGCCTCATTCCTTCTATTACTTCATGTATTGGCTTGATTTTTATCAGCAGAATAAAAAACTGGGTGAATGATAGGAAAGAGCTGCTCTTGTGGGATTCAGGAAGTTGGACTGCCTTTGAGTTTCATTCCTGTGAACGGAGGTTCTGCACCTTGAAACTTCAAATGTGCAAAAATGTACAGATTTGCTTTTTCTTAGGGCAGCAGCAGCCTGGCTGCGAAGCAGGCAACAGCCTGACCAGAGGAGATCCGGCGAGCCGAACGGAGAAAGGCTTGGAGGGAGGGAGAATGGGCTTAGGGCTGGGCGAGCACACCGCATCCGGTTGCAGCATCAGAAGAAAGCACACTCATTTTGTTTCAGAGTTCAGTCTTCTTTAGGGAGGGGGGACTGGCCGAGATTTGATTTGGGACCAGAGTTGGGACCAGAGTCCCATCCCCCAGCAAAATCTCTTGGGGTCCCCAGACAGACCCTGACTGGAAAACGCATCCTGTTATTCATTGTGACTGCAAAGGACATTCTGCTTTTAAGGTGGCATAAAATACATTCTCCTCCCTTCCATCTCCCCGAGTCTTAACGCCTCCTTTGCTTCCAACCCGGCACAGTGCAGAAGCGGAGGTCTCAGAGTCCTGAGATGGCTGCCACAATGGCGATGAGTTGGGAGCCCCAGCCGGAGGGTCAGCTGTTTTGATAAATGAAGAGGATATCCTCGTCTGTGCCGTAACTGGTCCTGGCTTCCTCAAAGTTATGGATGCTGGTGCTGCATGTTCCTGTGGAGGGGCCCAGAGTCAGACAAGGGCAGCTGTAAAGGACTCCACAGCCCAACCCCCCTTATGCCATCACGACCCTCAGCCTACACACAGACCCCTTGCAGAGGGAATGACCCCACCACACTGCCCGAAAAACAAGGAGCCCAGAGAGCTGCAGACCGGGGGAGGGGAGGGGAGGCTGGTGGCTAACACCTGGGCGAGGGTGCAGTTACTCACGGTCTGCGTAGGCAGGGTTGTTGTAATAAATGCACTCCAAAGCTCTGTTGTAGCCACACAAGACGATGAAGTGGCCCTGGTAGTCGGGGCTGCGGCAGAAGCACTTCTGGCCGATGGGCAGGAAGCAGCAGTACTTGACTGGGCTGGAGCAGAGGTCGCACAGCAGCAAGACAGCATTGACCAGCACGATGGCGATGTGGCCCTGAGAGAGGTGCTCCTGGATGTCCCCGACGGTCACTGTGCTGCCGGAGAAGGGACTTAGAATAACTTTACTGTCACTTTGAATGCATGCTAATCGGCATTCATTCAAGTGAAATTTCATTGCACATAGCTCTCAAAGGATCTCCACCTCCAATACACCCTACGTAAAGATGACAAAATAAATAAACACAAAAGTATGCATATACCCACATATATTATATGACACAAAGAAACAACACGGTCTAATTCAGATGTGCATGGCGAGAGAAAGGAATCTTGTGAGTTTACCAGACAGCTGGCTCAAACCTTCAAAAGGACTTCCCTCCCCAGAGGGGAGCACAGAAACAGAACATGGAGTGAGGGTGGGGTGGGGTCTCTTTGAACAATGCTTCAAGCTCTAAGCACAGCAGTCGTGAGTCATCCAGGTGAACAATAGTGGACTGAGCCCTGCGGGAAACCTGTACTCAAGGAGGTGGAGTTGGAAACTTTTCTTCCAACTCGCAAAAACTGGGGCCTATCAATAAAGAAATTCAGTATCCAATTACATAAAGCAGCATTGAAGGGAAGGGGACCTGGGTTCAAGAGGCTCTGCCATGCGAGAATAGCCCCTTGGGGCAAAAGGGAAGACCGGGCTACTTTGGGCCAAACACCTCTACTTCAGGAATACTTATGTATTTATGCTCTGCCCATTTCACCCACAGAGGAACTCTCTCCTGATGTCTAAAAGTGGCTTTCCCATTAGAAGCAACTATTAGAACCTTTCTGACCTAAAAGGAATGTTTCTGCTTTAGTTAATAATACAGAACAAAGGTAAAATAAAAAAAAGGATTACAATGAAAGCACAGAATGTGAACCTACATGCATGTTTTTCTCCTGAAGGTTAAAAGGGAGGGAGGAGGAGCATTTCCTGACCCTCAATGTTATGGGCTCCTCCTGAGGGATCTTCCATCATTGTTTCTCACAGGGGTTGGGGTCCAGAGGGGGGGGGGGCTTCTCCTGCCGCCCGCTGAGGTCTGCAGGAGAAGTGGCGGCCCAGGGAAAGTCGCCCCTCAGCCTCTCCCCAAGGGCATGCATAGCTTCCAGACACAGGGAGAGGCTGCTTGAGGAGACCCAGATCCGAGTCCCCCCACTGCTCCTGCAGACTCCCTCAGAGGACGTCTGTGGGATGCAAGGGGGGAGCCCTCGGGAGGCCAGCCTGAGGTTTTAGGGAAAAGGCAGGAGAATACAAGCACAATCAGCAAAAAGAGCTTGGATTCTCCTTGTCCTCCAGCTGGGATCTCTGCATTTAGCAAGCAGCTCCTCTCTTTCCTGCCTACGCCTGCCCTTCCTTAGTCGCTTCTCACTCTGATGGGCATGAAAAGGACCTGGAAGCGGCCCATTCCCCAGAGACACTGCTTGGCCATCCTCATTTCCCCCTCCCACCCAGCCCTTATTTCAAGGCAGCCCACTTGCCCAAACACCACCAAGGGGACAGAGGCAGCTGCACGACTAATTTTGGCAGGGAAAATCCTCCTGCTCCAATGTCAGCTGCCACTTTAGTATGGCAGAATCCAGCGGCATCCCAGGAGGAGAGGCTCTGAGGAGGCACCCAAAGGGACTCCAGCACATGCTGGAGAAGTGGCTATATGTGAAATGCATCCAGAATCCCAGGAGGGGCTGCAGGGGTATGAAACAGGAGTGGCAGACGTCCCCCAACCCCATCGCTGGCACAAGACAAATCAGGTAACATTTATTTATACCTGCAGTGGATAGCAGAGCATTGAATTCCGCTCTGAGCTAACTTGAGGAGACCAACTCTCCTCCAGACTGAAAACTGACAGAAACTTCCAGGTCTGAGTGAGGAATATCCACTCCTTAAGAAAATCGGTTTTGGGTAACCAAGGTTGACTTAACTTCCTTTCTATGTCCAGCATGTGCCCTGCCAGTCCCTGTTCACCCTCTCCTCAAAGCAGTGCAGCTTCTCATCTGTCCCACCATCCAGCACTGAAATTACCTGCTAAATTTATGGGCAGAGATTTACCGTGCTTCCCTGAAAATAAGACAGGGTCTTATTTTTTTTCACACACAAAATATGGCTTGAGCCTTATTATGAGGGGAGGGTTTATTGTTTTGGGGTTGCCGGGCGGCTGCTCTCTTGCAAGCAGGAGCAGAACAGCTGCTCGCACAACCCCCTTCTCCAGCCATGCAGAGCCATTCACTGGCATTTCTAAGGCGCCAAGTTGCGAGAGCCAGGCAGCGGTGAACAAGCACTCATGTGGCTTGGCGATAGCCCTAGGTCAGTGAATGGCGCTGTGCCCAGCTGGAAATGAGGTTTGCCGGGTGGCTTCTGTGCCCGGCTCTTTGGGAGCCCACTCGCAAGAGAACAGATGTCCGGCAACCCCCCTCTTCAGCTGGGCACAGCGCTGCTCACCAACCTAGCGGTATCCCCAAAGCACCAAGCAATGCGATCACATTCCCCCCCCCCAGTTCCCACGGCTTGGCACCTTCGGGATACCGCTAGGTTGGTGAGTGGCGCTCTGCCTGGTTGGAGGTGGGGGGGGGGTTGTCCAGGGGGCTTCTTTGCAGGGGAGGGCTTATATTTTTGCCCACCAGAAAAATGTGACATGGCCTTATTATCAGGACATGTCATATTTTCAGGAAAATAGGGTAGGTAAATGAGTGGAATCTTTGTTTTCACTTGTGGTTTGTTTGCGATTCTATCCTACAAACAACCAAGAGCTTGTTACGGATCAGGTGCTATGCAGAGTGCTGCCCCTTTCTACAAAAACATCGGTTATCAATTTATCTTCATGTTGTTAAAAATAAAAGTACCAAATCTGCCTCCAACAGAGAATCTGCACAACTGTCTCGCGAGTCCACTGCGACAGCGGCTGAAAACCAAGCCCCTGGCGGATCCGGCACTGGAACAATGAGTAATGGATGAACAAGTGAGCAGGACCTGTGCATGTGAGCCACTCCCCACATCTGCCCAAGGAGAGGGTCCCGTGACCCTGGTTTCTTTTGGTCCACTTTAGCAACAGCCTTAACAGGGACCCCACTTCCAGTCAAGTGTGGGACTTTCCCCCTCTCGGCACATTTTTCATCTTGACATTTTCAAAAGAAGGGACGGCCAATGCCATTCTCTGACCAAAGGACCATGCTAAGGTTAGAGCTGGCTGCTGGTGGCTTCCCTGTCAAAGGATTAAGGCCACATAAAAAGAGGTGAAAGGGAGAAACTAAAATCTAATTAAAATACTATAATTCATTAGCGTAAATTATACATCTGATGGATTTTCATACATACACACATGAACTTAAAATGAGTGCCTTCTCGTATTCCTCATCTCCCAAGTTCAGAATTACTGGAGCAAAACACAACTCAAAGAAACGAACCACTTTTCACTCATAGACCTGCCCACTGACAGAGGTCTTGTTGGCATCAGAAAGAGGACCTCCTGGTAGGCCACACTATCCCTGGCTGGAGGTGTGCACTGGCTCTCTTGGGAAAGGTTGGGTATCCTTCCCCTTGGAGGGAGACTTGCTATCCTCCAGGCACAAGAGCACCATTTCTCCTCTTGAGAGGAGGCAGTGATCCCCCCTCTCTGCTTGTGGGTTGTCAGCCCAGACAGGGAAGGGTGAGGTCTCTCAGAACTCTTCTTGAGTTGAAATGCCCTCCACCCAGTGGCTCTGGGATCTTCAGCTGATAGGAACTATCTTTTGCATGCATATCTCAGGATTTGCCTCTGGATCTTTTTCTTCATATTGTCAACTCTGAAGCTGACCTGAGGCCGTCTTGGAGGCTTCAGTGTTGCCACAATGGTGCTGAGGGATAGGGAGGGGGGAACAGAGATAGTTGGGATTTTGTAGCCAAAACAAAAAAGTTTCCCCCTGGGAACCAAGGATTCCCACAGGTGGCTGAAGAGAGGAATGAAGTTTTCAAGCAACCAGATTGGACCATGTGACTGTTAGTTTGAGAAAAGTGGGGGGGGGGGAGGACTTTACTTTTAATTAGGTGAAAACTGAGGGAAGCTTTAGAGTCGGTTTTCACCAGTCTGTGCCAATATAATATATCCAATAAAACTGTTCTTTAACATCTACCTGCCTCGGAGTTCTTTTTGCTATGAGCATGAACCCTGACACGTATCTTCCCTGCTTCTATGGCCCTTTGCCCTGGAAGTAGATTTAGCATTCTCATTCTCAATTTCCCTGCATCTCTCTTGCCAAGCATTATCTGAAGAGTTTCAGATGTGTGTATCCTTCACGGCACATCCTAGGCTCCACAATACTACTTCATAGATGTCTGCAGCTTGAATAGTTTACTTACATGCACTCCCTCTTTTGCTAGCAACTGCTTACATTCCAACATTACATTTTTTTAAAAAGCAGGATAAAAAGTATGTAATAATTTAATGCAACTACATCTGCCATTGTGAATAGAAGCCAGAGCACATCCTCCTTTCCCAGGTTCCATTAAGCACAAGGTGGGCTTTTCATTTGCACCAGAAGTAATTCTAGTGCTGATCAACTTAGCTAGAATCTTGCCCCACTTCCGGGCACAAAGCCTGCTACTCTCACCTTTGTGTGAATGTAGAGACCACAAGGCATAAGAACAGGTTGCTTACCTGTAACTGTGGTTCTTTGAGTGGCCATCTGCCATCCCCTTGCCAAGAAAGTTCTGCGAGTAAAAGACCACTGTGTTAGTTCACAAATCCGAGATAAATGTAGGGAACTTCCTTGGACAGATGCAGCTGTTCCACAGCAGCTCCCTGCCCAAAGGCCAAGTTAGGTCCCGACGGAGCTTTCCAATGTCAACACAGGCTGGAAGCCACTCCAGGGGAATCTGCAGATGACCACTTAAAGAACCATCAGAATCGTCTCTGCATGAAACCTGGGCATGCCTGCAGCTGGCATCCTCAAAATGGAGGGACAGTCCTCAATGAAGCAGAATAGCCCACTGTCTTTGTGCCTTTTCTAGACCGCTCCCTACTCATCTGATTTCAGTGGGGCTCACTCAGACAACTGTAATTCACATACTTGGGGTAGAACGCCAACAGCAACCGGGGAGAATCCTGCCTCTTTTGGTGTACCCCACTGCCAAGGAAGCCAACCCATGTTGCTCCTTCCTGCATCTAGTCAGAAAAATGGACCTACTGCTACCATCAAAACAAACCAATCCCAAAACATCTGGCAGGTGCCCAGGGATGCACACCCTTGGATGTTTTATTTCAAACGACTACATACCATACTCCAGAAACTCTGCCAGTTATGCCAAATGGAAGATTTGGGAAGAAAACAAAACCTGAAACGTTTTGCTGGTTTCCGTATTTAGAAGAATGTCAATTTGGTCTAGTGGTGAAGGAACCAGACTAGCAAGCAGACGGCTAGGAGTCAGCCATGAAAAGCAGCTGGGTGACTTTTTTGGCCCCACCCACCTCACAGGGTTGTCATGGGGGAAATAAAAGGAGGAAGTGGCAGAAATGGCATAGGGTCTCCTACTTGAGCAGGGGGTTGGACTAGATGGCCTATAAGGTCTCTTCAAACTGCATTCTGTAAATATTAAGCATGCTTGCCACCTTATTTGTAAAAGTAATGAAGGCAGGATAAAATTAAGTAATAATAAAAGTAGTAGGCAGAGAGATTTTATGGGGAAAAATAGAACAGGACAGGTATGGTTCAACACCCCACCCCACCCCACCCTAGAGAAGTTCCCAGGGTGGAATATTCACCTGCCTCTCTGCCCTCCAATCCCGGCAGCACTCCCCCCCACCCCAGCTGCCACAAGATTTCAACAGCTCATCTATGGCCTGCATGACCCTTCCCGAAGTCACTGCCACTGACAGCCTTCTTCCTGCTCTTAACCTCTCCACCCCTCTCAAAACCACCACTTTGGTGCACTGGGCATGCACCAAAACATCTAACATTCACATCTCTACTTGAGTTCAAGTTACTTGAAACTACCTGCTCTGTGTATAAACAGATGTGTGTGTGGAATCTTTTGCCTTTTCCTACAAATATTAAGTGGGCTCTCCATCCTTCCCTTCCTGTCCTCAAGGAGAGGGACTGGGGAACAAATTGGTCCATCAACGACACTCCTTCTCCAACTCTTCCTTTCAAGCAAACAGCCACCCTATGCCTTGGGATGTCCCTTAGGAACCTCCATGGAACACCAAGTGCAGGGGAACCACGACTTGTGAGAAATGAGGATGCAGGAGAAATTGCAAGTGGCAGCGAGAACAGTCCAGCCACGGCTGATCATCTTCCACTCACTGGCACCCCGGTCCATGTAGAAGCAGATTTGGAATGCCATCCTTTATTATTTCTAGTGCTTTTAATGGGAGGAAAAAAGCAGCCTCAGTCACACTGCACCCTCTTCCTCAGCATATCCCATTCACCTCAGGCAGATTTATTTTCCAGCGGAAGAGCTCGATCCCTGCATCCAAAGGACCGTCAGTTGTCATAGCTACATCCTAAAAGCCACAGGAAGGTGATGCAGGTTTGTTTAGGTACTCTGGGTTACAACAGGCCCTGTGGATAAACAGCTGGATCACCTGCTAGAAGAAGAAAGGCAAATCATCTGCCGAGAGCTCACCGTTTTTCCACCAGCACCTTGCAGGCTTTTGCTTGGGCAAACAGTTGGTTTACACGGTTCTCCTCTATGTCAAAGTGTTTTCTATAAAAAGACTGAAGACAAGGAGCCATGTCATATGCAGAAAGCCTAGGGAGGGATGGCTAGCATCTCTAAGGGGAGCCCCCCCTCTGCCTCCCGCAAGAGAACACATGTGGGGCAGCTGCTTTGAAGCAAGTCTGCCAATGAAGATCATCTTGGAAGACTTGAGGCATCCTGTGAGCAAAAGGCAAACTTGTCGTTGAGGCAACCCAGGGATTTCTACTAGGTGGCACCCGATGTCAGTTGTGCAGCAAATGGCCACAAATGTGTGAGTACCGCTATGGCTCGTAAGAGAGTGTGAGTATCCCCCAAAGAGCTGCCTCTGTGTCTGGAGCAGCAGCAGCCAAACAAGCTACCTGGTTTTTGTAGCCCTTGTCTACGCCCAGCGTCTGGGTGCAGAATAGATGCTTCACCCCAAAGTGACGCATCAGGTAGGCCAAGTCAATTGTCCAGATACTTTTGGTCAACTGGAGGTCCCGGACTGCTCTCTGGAAGTCTTCATCATTCAGCAGGTTCAGGTACCTGAGGTCAGTCAGATTGGGGGGGCAAAAGGACAAAAAAAGCCATTGACAGTTAAAACCACCATTTCCTTTCAGAGACCACGGATTGGCCAGTCGTCCTTTTCCCCACAAGGCAGAGGCAGTCGCCCTCTTCAGCTCAGGCAGAGAGAAACTCAACAGGGAAAGGAGGGCGGAGGGGGGGTCCACGGGACGCCTCTCTGGGGCGCAGCGGCTCTCGCTTGGACTAACAGCCGCAGGCGAGACCTCGGATCCCCTTTACGCAGTCTCTGCGACCCCCGCAACGGACCCTCCGCATCGGCCAGGCTTTGTCTCTGCCGCTCCCAGGAGAAGGGAAGGCGGGACCCCCCCCCCACCGTAAGAGGCCAGGGCTGCGATTCCCAGCAGGCCCAGGACAGCCGGCGGGGGAGGACGGGGCGGCGCAGGGCCTGGCTGGAAGGGCCTGCTGGGAGTGGCAGTCCCGTCGGAAGACTCACCGCAGCGCCATCCTGGAGCAGGCCAGCCCGCAGTCCCAGTGGTAGAGCTGCTGCAGCGCCGGCACCTTCAGCTGGATCGCCTCCCCGACGCCCTCGGCCCCCGCATCCGCAAGGGCAGGCGAGGGCAGGGGTCTCCGGAGCTCGCCCGCTCCTCTCCCGGCCGCGCAAGAGGGTGCCCCCGGCCCGGAGGACCCACCTGAGGGCGGCAGCGCGGCGACCTCCTCGGCCGGGGTCTTCATGGCGCTGGCGGGGCCGGGCCCGGCCTGGGCGTGCCGTTGCACGCGCGGGGCAGGCCGGGAGCGCCGCTCCTCTCCCGCGGAGGGCGGCGCGCCATAGAGGCGGCGGGGCAGAGCGGCGCGCGCTGTGCAGGCCGGGAGTGCTTCTTCTTCCTCTTGCGCCTTCCTCCTCCTCCTCCTCGGGCCGCCATGTCCATCGGGGTGCCGATCAAGGTGCTGCACGAGGCCGAGGGCCACATCGTCACCTGCGAGACCAACACGGGCGAGGTCTACCGCGGGAAGCTCATCGAGGCCGAGGACAACATGAACTGCCAGGCAGGGCGGCGGGCCAGGGTCGCGGGCGGGCGGGCGGGGGTCGCTGGGGGTTCTAACCGCTGCTCCCTCCCTGCCTCCCCTCAGATGTCCAATATCACCGTGACCTACCGCGACGGGCGCGTGGCGCAGCTGGAGCAGGTCTACATCCGCGGCAGCAAGATCCGCTTCCTCATCCTGCCCGATATGCTGAAGAACGCGCCGATGCTGAAGAGCATGAAGAACAAGAACCAGGGCTCTGGCGCCGGCCGCGGCAAGGCCGCCATCCTCAAGGCGCAAGGTGAGCCTCCCGCCGGCCTGGCAGCCGCGGAACCGCGGGGGGCGGTGTGTCTCCATTAGCCCGGTTATAACGAAGCCCCCCAGGGACGCTCAGGGGCTCCGACGCTGCGCTTGTCGGAAAGGTCGGCGGTTCGAATCCCCAGCGCCGCGTAACGGCGTGAGCTCCCGTGACTTATCCCAGCTTCTGCCAACATAGTAGTTCGAAAGCAGATAAAAATGCAAGTAGAAAAATAGGAACCACCTTTGGAAGGGAACAGCGTTCCGTGCGCCTTTGGCGCTTAGTCCTGCCGGCCACCTGACCACGGAGACGTCTTTGGACAGCGCTGGCTCTTCGGCTTTGAAACGGAGATGAGCACCATCCGCCCCTTAGAGTCGGGAACTACTAGCGCAGATGTGCGAGGGGAGCTTTTACCTTGAATGAAGCCCCGTTATTCAGATTGCTCAAGGCAAAGGGGGCGGAGAAAAGGCCGACTTCGTGCATAACAGGACCAGCCAGATGCTCTCTCCTCCTCAAAGGAGCCTCTGGGAGAGGGGCTTTTTCCTTGAACTCTGTTGGTGCAAATGACACCTAAAACCCCAATGGTGACTCTGCGCCCATTAAGTTTTGGCTGGGGTTAAACACAACCTGGTATCAGTTTATAACTGTCCCAAATCAAATCTCAGATTGTTCAAACTCCTAATCATGAACACCCCCCCCAATCACCATCTGTTATTCTAGGAGCAGAGGAGGGGTTGGAACCCTTGGGGGGGCACTGTCCACCCCCACCCTGGGGGGGGGGGGGAAGGGGGGGGGTTCTGC